GCATCAGGCTCCCTGCTTGGCCCGAAGCCTGCTGCTCCCTCTCCCACTCCCCCTACTTGTGTTCCCCCTCATGCCGTCTCTCACTCTGTCAATTAAATACATAAATAAAATCTTAAAAAAAAAAAAGGTACAAAAGGAAGACCTACCAAAGGAAACCAAGGGCTTGCCACGGAAGTAGAAGGAGGACTCTGAGAGCGTGGTGTCCCGAAAGTGAAGAAAATATCTCCAGGAGAAAGGAGTAATATAGCAGCTCAAATGCAGCTGGAAGGTCAAGTAAAATGAATCCTGGATTTACTAATGTGGAAGTTATGAGCGAGCCTGACAAGTGTAGTTTCAGTGGAGCTGTAGGTAAAAGCCTGATGCAAAGTGGGCTGGACAGAGAATGAGAGAAGGAGTATTTGAGAAAGTACAGACAACTTATACGGAATTCTACTGTCAAGAGGAGCAGAGGAATCCCCAATCTGCCCTCTGTGAAGGGCAAAGTTAGGTCAAAAGCATTTTTTTCTTAGGAACAGCTTTCTTTCTTTTTTTTTAAATTTATTTGACACAGCGAGAGAGGGAACACAAGCAGGGGGAGTGGGAGAGGGAGAAGCAGGCTTCCCACTGAGCAGGGAGCCCCATGTAGGGCACCTGAGCCGAAGGCAGACGCTTAACGACTGAGCAACCCAGGAGCCCCTAGGAACAGCTTTCTTTCATATGTCACAGGGACGAAAAAAAAAAAACCAATGTACTCCCCTCATCTGTAAACAGGAATAGGAAGGTACCTCCTTCATAGGACTGTTATGAGGACTTAATGAATTAATTCATTCATTCTGTTATGAGAATTTATTAATGAATTAATAAATATAAAGCACTTAGCATGGCATATAGCATGCACTCAGTAACACTTGCTTTAAAATATCCAGAATATCAGGCAACTCCTACTGACACACTTGCTTAGGAAGGTTGTAAGACGTCACAGACCCCATTATTAAGATAGTTCATAGCACAAGCAAAGAAAAGGGGATATAAGCAAAGTCTGAAGGGACAGGAGACTGAAAATAGGTTTTGCATCTACTCTTTTAGGATGAAGAAGTTCAATCCCAAAGTGAGCGTAGTAAAAATTATTCACAGCAGAGTTTCACCTAACACCCATGTGATCTAAAGTAATCTTTTTCTCCCTCCTCATTACCCAGAGCCCTTTTTATTATATTGCCACTCACTGACATCACAGTTAGAAGTGTTTTCATCTACCAAATTGCATCAAGTAAAAACCAGTTTAAATCCTAAGGGGTTGTAATCAGAGATACATATAGCCCTAAATCAACAGAGACCTATTGTTATTTATTTTTTTTAAGATTTTATTTATTTGTCTCTACAGAGAGAGACACAGCGAGAGAGGGAACACAAGCAGGGGGAGTGGGAGAGGGAGAAGCAGGCTTCCCGCTGAGCAGGGAGCACAATGCGGGGCTCAATCCCAGGACCCTGGGATCATGACCTGAGCTGAAGGCAGACGCTTAACGACTGAGCCACCCAGGCGCCCTGAGACCTACTGTTATTGAAGTTGATATAATTACAAAGGCAGACAGTTGTGACTTTTAATTAACCGACGTAACTTCACGAGGATAAAAGTTTAATTTTGTCAGATTTCCTGACTTACTAAGAGTCATATCATGTGTGTATTTAACTTGGTTAATTCAATTATATGTGTTAAGGCCCAAAGATAGAGAGACTGGGGAACATAATAAGCTCTAGGGCAAAAGAATAAAAGTAAGAGAAGGAAATCCTGTTATTTACTCTCTTATCCCAGATAAAGAGAAATCAAAGGGTTAAATGCAAAGAAAACAAAATAATCCTTCATCTTTTCCATTTTTATTTTATTCTGTGATTTTTAAGGGCTGATATCCTTGAGATTTTATAAAGGACTTCCAAGAGTCATGTCCATCAGGTACTAAAAAGATATTTCCCCTCAAACTGGGGAAACCAATGACCTGTATTTCTTCCTTTTTGTTTTTAAAGATTTTATTTATTTGACAGAGAGAGAAAAGGAACACAAGCAGGGGGAGTGGGAGAGGGAAAAGCAGGCTTCCTGCAGAGCAGGGAGCCTGACATGGGGCTTGATCCCAGGACCCTGGGATCATGACCTGAGCCGAAGGCAGACGCTTAACGATTGAGCCACCCAGGCGCCAATGACCTGTATTTCTATAGCTAGACTGAGCCCTGTCTTCTAAGACTGGAAAAACTGGCCCTGATTTTGATATGGTCTTTCCTGCCAAATTAAACTGTCTACCGAAAAAAGAATAGACCTCACTCTCTGCAGACATACTGCGATGCACAGCGTACTGCAGTACATCAAGTCACCTAAAATAAAGACATGAATTAAAACATTTAAATAGGTATTATTTTCCAACGTACAACTGTCTTCAGCATACCAATCCTCAAAATGTACTTAATCCCCTTTGTTTATAACGTACTTAACTTACTGGCTTACTGTATTTCTTGACTATCTGTCACCATCACTAGCACCTCTCTTAGTCTAGTCTTACAGGGCAGGAAATGTCAGAGGCTCCCATGCAATAATTATGCACCTAACACATTGTTAACATTCAGTAAGCTTATGTGAAATGAATGAATGCTTTTAGCGATGTCAAGGCAAGGACCCTCCAAGGCAAACCCAATCTAAAACCTCAAGTCTAAAGGTAAGGAATGATTCTGTAGATAAAGCATTTCTTAAGTGGAAGAGTGAATGTGAAAGGGACATAAATACCTGCTGGAACTTATATAAATCGTTATACTTTTCATGGAAGTCCAAGTTCAAAAGTTCCTTCTGAAGCCCTTCCAAAAAGTTTTGGCTTTGGATGAAGTTTGGGATGACGCAGTGAAGAAAGGGATCCATGTCCATGGCAATGGCCTCTGTTGGAAGGAAAACATTACTTATGGCTTTTCCCCCTTTTTTATTTTTGACCCAAGTAGCATGGCAGAGGGAATACAAAAGGGAATGATCATGAATTTTCAGAAATCTAGTACCTAAAGACTTGGGGGAAGAATTATAAGCTCTTCCCTTTTTTCTTTACTCCATTCAATACTACCTTTTCTTTTTTTTTTTTTTTTTAAGATTTTTATTTATTTGACAGAGAGAGACCAGCGAGAGAGGGAACACGAACAGGGGTAGTGGGAGAGGGAGAAGCAAGCTCTCCACTCAGAGGGTCCGATGCGGGGCTCGATTTCAGGAGCCTGAGATCATGACCTGAGCTGAAGGCAGACGCTTAACGACTGAGCCACCCAGGTGCCCCTCAATACTACTTTTTAAATATATTGTGTTTAAAATACTAGTCCTTAGGAGTACAGGTGATATCACTAAATTAAGGTTCCTGCTCTTTTTTGAGTTTTTTAGTTCAACGATTAGCTATTGAACTGAATATATTTTAGATTCTTTACTCATTTCCCCCCAAATTAAAGTGAGAGGAGCAAATGAAAAATGAGAATAGAGGGGCACCTGGGTGGCTCAGTTGGTTAGGCATCCAATTCTTGGTTTTGGCTCAGGTCATGATCCCAGGGTTGTGAGATAGAGCCTCACCGCAGGCTCCATGCTGGGGGAGGAGCCTGCTTAAGATTCTCTCTCTCCTCTCCCTCTGCCCACCCCCAACCCCTAAAAAGAAAATGAGAATAGCAATACTGGCTGGCAATTTTTCTTCAACCTGCCTTTTTTTCCCCCAAGTTACTGTTGGAGGAAGTTACAACATACACTTTTTAAAAAAAATCGGTTCAAGCATAACTCTTCGATGCCTTGATTTCTGTCTCAACACTTTAGCCATTGCCTCTGATACTCTAGGTACCCTCCTAATATTAATGGTCACCACCACCACCATCACCACCACCTACCCCGTGCCAAACACAGTGGTGCTTTACATGCATAATGTCACTTCATCTCCTCGGCAACCCTGTGGCAGACATTATCACTATTTCCATCCTACAGCTGAGGATATTGACAAGTCCCTGCGGGTACAGAGCTTGCCCTTTAGACACTGAGCTATCACTTTTTATGTGCATCCAGACACCCAGGACTCACCCCTTCAAAGCACTTAACAACTGAAACCAAAATCATGGCAAACTCTAGGAGGGAAAGCATGCTGCATGAAGCGGAATTCTTATCCTCTAAAGTGATATCTGAAGTTGAGGCTGGAATCGTTCAAGGTGAGTTCCTTCCCTTGCTCAACACTCGTTTACTCCCATAGGTCACGTAGTCGGCCCATAGGCGTGTAAAAACGAGTAAGCTCAGGTGCCAGCCATCTGGCAGCTCACAATAAATACTCTGGCTACACGATTTTGGGATAACCGATCATTGCCCTCGGAGGAACTACGAACTTGCATGCCATGCCCTCTGCTTCCCAACTCTCGGGCCTACGTTTCTTCCTCTTCTCAGATTTCTAAATCCAAACCGAATTTGGAATGATAGAGGGCAGCAGGAGAGTCAGAGGTGGCCAAAGTCACACTGTCTCCAAGGGCCTCTTCCCTCGTGGCCCCGCTGCCCGGGGCTCGGCTCGAGTGGCAGGACTTTCAGAGGCCCCCCAGACCCTGCTCCCCCTTCACAGCACCCGGTTACCGTGACCAAACGGCGTCCTGCGGCTCCAGGCCTCAGACACCTGCTTTTTCAAGGTTTCTTCGGTGACAGCGTCCGAAAACTCCGCTAGCACCTCCTTCTTTCCCTTTTTCCCCGTCCGGCCAGAAACTGGCTCAGCTGGCCGTTTCCCATTCATCTTCTCTTAAGCTACAGACCCACGCCACACTGATTAAGCAGCTACTTTCCTAGGCTGACTACAATTCCCAGAGTGCCCCCTTTCCCGTGTTCCCCAGCGCCGACCAATAGGAAGTATCAAAGTAAAAGGAGGCGGAACCCATTACTGGTTTACCAATGGAAACTCTAGATATTGCGGCCATCTCATCAGCGATTGGCCTAGTGGCGCTTGGCCCGGCTGGCCTCCGCCTCTCTATTTCCTGCCGCCAGAGGCCCCGGATGCACTTCCGGCGTGCCTTCGCCTCCTCTTGCGCTCTCATGTTAATGGCGGGTGGCGTCTGCTGAGGGGGACGCAAATAACCGCTACCCGCACAGGGAAAGTCTCCCTGCCTGCCCCACTTCCTCTCGCCGCAAGTACTCGAGCTCGCCATCATGTCCGTGGTGCCGCCCAATCGCTCACAAACCGGCTGGCCCCGGGGGGTCAACCAGTTCGGCAACAAGTACATCCAGCAGACCAAGCCCCTCACCCTGGAGCGCACCATCAACCTGTAAGTGCGGCCTGTCCTTAGCGCGCTGCATTCGCGGGCACCCTCTTCCTCGTGAGCGCTCCCAAAGACTGCCGATCTTCTTCCGGCGCGCCCCCGGCCCTCGGCGGGCTTCACGTCTCCCCATCACCTCCACTCCCGCTCGCAAATGCGCGCCTTTCTAGATCCTACGGGCCCCTTCGTGGTCCTCGAGCGCCACGGGGTTAGAGTCCTACTTGAGAGGGTTTTCCGTTCCCGGAGCGAGGGCTTGCTCCCACCCCTGGATTCAGTCATAGTAGGAAAATCCCAAGTTTGTTTTTGAACTCACCCCTTCCCCACGTCTCCAGAGGAAACCAGCTGCAGAGCGTGGTGTTCATTCTTCCTGTGCAGTGTTTATGTTTTCACATCACGTATGTGGTATTGCTTTTTGTGGGTTCTTCTTTGGTATAAATGGTATCATGTTCTCTTGTTTGCAGTTTTCACTCTTCTGTAGCAGTGAGCTTTCGAGAGCTAGCTATAATGCGTAGGTTTAGTTTTTTTTCTCTTAACGGCCTAACTGGTATTTGAGCTCCAGCATGCACCACATTTTATTCCTGTGCTCGGGGCCATCTGGCTTACCCCTATGCATTCCCCTGTCTTCTCTCCGCAGCGACAGCAGCCAGGCAGCCAGCGGGCCCCATCTTGGGAGGGTGCATACTGTTGAGGTTGGGCTTTTATTCAGACCGTGGAGGGGACCAGCAGGTAGCCCCAGAGAACCCATTGTGGGCTGTGTTTTTATTTTCAACACTCTTCTGTTTGAACCCTTCAAGCTATTGCATTTCGAAGTCACTCTCAAAAGTTATCTCGCAGTGGCAGGTAATTGGCATTGGAGTTCTATCTTGCTCAAGAAATTGTCAGTATGCTCTCTCTCTCCTCTTTTTTTTTTAATTATTTCTGAGAGTTTGTGAGGCACCGTGGTGCTGACCCTAATGAAAGAAAGTGGCCAGTTTATGCTGGTCAGTGTTTAAAAGGTGCAAGGACTGGGGCGCCTGGGTGGCTCAGTCGATTAAGCGTCTGCCTTCCACTCAGGTTGTGATCCCCAGAGTCCTGGGATCGAGCCCCGCTAGGGCTCCTTGCTCCGTGGGGAGCCCGCTTCTCCCTCTCCCTCTGCCTGAGGCTACTCCTGCTTGTGTGCGTTCTCTCTCTCTCTCTCTCTCTCTCTCTCTCTCTCTCTCTCTCTCTGACAAACAAAATCTTTAAAAAAAAGGTGCGAGGATTTACAGATGCTGGTGTTTCCATGAGAAACTTCAGGTGTTTCTCTATTTTACTTTCAAATAAGTGAACTTCTCCCCTTCAAAAGCGATTTGAAATTGAAGAGATGGTTGTAATTATTGTTTTATTTGGCAAAACGGGTGCCGGCATGGAAATTTAGACAATAAAAATGTTGGGTTTATGAAATCTGTAGCTAGATAGATGTGTATATACAAGTTAATATCTCTAGCTATTACATTAACATAATAGTTTAATTTCATATCCCCTCTTTAAAATATCTTCATAAGATTCCCATGAAGCAGAAAAGGCAAATGTTCTTTTTCAAAATGTGAAAACACAGCTTCTGGATTACTTTGGTAATTAGGACTAGGGCTTGCGGTTTTCCCTTGATTTAACTTCATTATTGGATCAATTTGCATCAAGTTAGTCTAGAATTAACTTGAAGTGTTTTTATTTTTGCTCCATTAAAGTTATGGGTTGATGAATTTACAGAATGTTTCCTCTCCTATGTAAATATGGTATTCAGAAAAAAATCACTGTTGTGAATGCAGTTCACCTGGGTGAGTTATAATCTAACTTGAAAACAAGTCCTTTCTCCCCTACTATACTTTCTTTTAGGAAGTACTGCATGAATATCTACTTTCTACCAGGCACTGGGCATAATGCTGGGCATACAGTGGTGAGCAAGTAGGATGTAGTCCCTGCTTTGCAAAGTTCACAGTGTGATGGGAATAAAATGCATGTCTGGGCTGGCACTCTGATTTCATATCTGAAAATTCTTACATTTCATTTTGATGGCATCTCTTTATTGATATGAGAGCTGGCTTTTACAGTACAGATGTGTACAGCTATCATTAATTCTTTCTAACTCAAGTTGTGAAAACTAAATGTTAATACATATAAAAAATTGGCTGGCACATAGTACTGTGTGAAATTGTTGCTAGCAATGATGTTAGATTCAGCGTTGGGTCTACTGGGGAAGTTATTCTTTAAAGGATCCTGGAAATCGTATATGTTAGTTATTTAAGAGCTGCTTCATTCATGCCTAGAATCTGGCTTTGGTGTTAAGTTTTGACAATCTTGATTTGTTTACCTTTCAAGAATAGCTAAGTGGATTAATTAATATAGTTGTTGGCTTTTAATGTTAAGTCATTTTGATAGGGAATAGGCAGATGTGGTCCAAGTGTTCTTACTCAAAGACTTGTAATCAGAGGCTTCTTTAATGTAAGGGTTATGATTGGGGGGTTAAAAAGTGGTATGTTTGATTAAATATAAGTATAGGATTTTTAACTATCTTTAAGGAAAAATTTGATATTTACTAGGCAAGATGAAAACTGTCTTTACATGAGCTATATTTTGAATTCTTGCTAGAGGAGGGGAGAATATTCAGATTAGATACGGTGGGCAAAGGATTTGAATGACGAGAAGGGAAGAATAAGGATATTGGGTAGAATACATGCAGAAAGTTAAGGTTTATATGGAGGGAAAAGACAAGTTCACCTGAAGAGGAAAGGGTTGTAGTACCAGAAAAGTCTGAGGGTAGTTGACTGGGAGAAAAGTAACTGAAGAGATGATGGAAGGTGATCGCTCACCTTACAGAAAAAGAGGTATTAGTCCTTAGCACCCATAATTAATAGAATTTCTGATTAGATTAGTTAGAAGAGCCCAAGGGGGTGTTAGCCAGGTTGGCACTGTTAGTCTAGCAGCCATGATCTAAAACCAGAGGATTAGCAGATATCCAGATAGCCACTTCTCTAAGCATTTGAGGGCCTAGAGGGGTGGTGTTATCTATACTTGGAAGTTAAGTGTGGTGTAGCAACTTGATGTAATGGAAGCTCTGGACTGTAAGTCCAGAGCTGGATTCTGATATCTGCTGTCACATTAATTTGTATAACTTTGGACAAAACCTGGTTCTCTGAGTATAGTATGAACACTTTTTTTTTTTTAAACCACAGTTTCCTTATATGTGTTTGGTATCTGTCATGGTAAATTACGGTCTTCGGTTCTCATGTTAGATACTTGTTTTTGGATCACAGGTACCCTCTTACCAATTATACTTTTGGCACAAAAGAGCCCCTTTATGAGAAGGACAGCTCTGTTGCAGCCAGATTTCAGCGCATGAGGGAGGAATTTGATAAAATTGGAATGAGAAGGACTGTAGAAGGGGTTCTGATTGTACATGAGCACCGGCTACCACATGTGTTACTGCTACAGCTGGGAACAACTTTCTTCAAATTGTAAGTGTCATTGGAATTTAACAGCTAGACAACTTTTAATAGGATTGCTGTTTTGTGCAGCTTTGGAAGACAATTTTAGACCTTAGTCATTTATTTCCATAAACAATCCTGTTAATGGAGTCTTTAGAAAGAGAAAATCATGTCATTTTTCTCCACTGTAGTGTTCATTTATTCCTTACCTAGCAATCTGCATGTTTCTGTATATTGTTGTTAATAACTGAGCCTGATAGAAGCCCCGTGAAGCAAATTAGTTCAAGTTTAATTTCTAGATGTCATTGTACCATTACTAAGGACAAGTGGTATTATTTCTTTCTTAGGATGAATGGTGTTTCCTGTTCTTAAAATGACTTACATTTTTATAGGTAACTGTTTAGTTTTATCATTTAAACTCATAAATATCTCTGTATTATACATTTAGTGTACAACTGTTTGACCAGATTGTACCAAAAAGAGAGGTCTCAAATCCTTAGTTTGGAATTCTTGAAGAATGCCCCATTTTTCAGACCTAAAGAATGTGGTCCATTGCCTCCTTGGGCATTTCTAGAATCCATTATGACCAGATTACCTTCCAGAGAAAAGAGAGTGGGATAGACTGGTGGCTAGAAGTTGTTTGTGTTAGGTTATGTTACATATTTTGTTCGTTTAAAGCTAGGGTTTGTGCACTGTTAGTCTGGTGAGTTAATATGAATTCAACTTTACAGCACATTCTTCCTCCTCCTTTTGACATTTGTTTGCTTTGATTGCCTTATGTGACATTGAAATATGTGTTATTCAGTTATATGATAGAAATAACTATTATTGTGTTCTTCCTGTTATCCTAAAATTGTTTTAAGTTGAAAGCTGAAATTCTTAACCTTTATACAGACCAGGTGGTGAACTTAACCCAGGAGAAGATGAAGTTGAAGGATTAAAACGCTTAATGACAGAGGTATTTCTCCATTTAACTGCTTTGGTGGTTTTATCCTTGCCCGTCTGAACATCATCAACTGAATGGATAATGAGGCTTTTTATCTTTTTATTTTTTAAACTTATTTTGAATAGTTTTCAATAAATAAAACTTAAACAACAGAGTGTTAGTACTATGTTTATTTTCCGTAAGTTGAACTAGAACTTAACATTTTTTTCCATTAAAGTGTTGATGTAACAATAATGGTTAATAAAAGCCAACATTTATCGAATACTTACTGTGCTAGGCACTTTTTTGAGTGCTTTACATGCAGGAGCTCCTTCAATCATCACAACAGTCCTAGGGAGAAGTACTAATAATCCCATTTTACCGATAGGGAAACTGGGCCCAGAGGGTTCAAGTAGCTTGCTTGATGTTTACAGCTAGTATGTCATGGAGCTGGAGATTGGAATGCAGTTAGTTTTGTTGCAGCGTAGGCCGCTATAGGGTTTTAACAAGAGTGATTCCTGTTAAGCTATTTTCATTTTTGCACGCATCTTTTAAGCTTTACCTAAATTGTGCTACCTTTTAAAAGTCACTCTAATGTCTGTTTCTGAAGACTTGAGGCCAAATAGCACGCCATCCTTCCCTCTTTAATTACAAAACTAATACACATTCTGTGCAAAAATCTTGGCAAATACTGACAAGCAGGAGAAACAAAACTAAAATCACCTGTAATTCTACCACTTTGACCTATTGGTTTATCTTTCCAGTATTTTTTTAAGTGCATCGTACGTTTTAAATACTGTGCTCTGCTTGGACTTTGTTTACATGTGGCTGATTAAACCTACTTGCTTAACTCAGGTGCTTCTTAGAAATCCACCAAAAAGGAAGGGGTTTTTAAAAGATAGCAATTCAGTAGGATTGAAGGAGTTTAAAATGAGACAATTGCAAAAAAGAATTTTTAGAAGCTAGAAAAGCAGATGGGCAAATCTCATCTGACTTAGCGGAAACCTCCACCCAGCAGGGGGGTAGTAGCTCAGGACCTAGCACTTCAGAACACCACAAAGGCTTAAGAATGGGAAGTGCCATGTGCCCATGAAAGTGGGGGCATGCATGGATTGGAAACTGGATTGATGGATAGTCTGTATTTCTGTATCTAGATAGTCTTCACACTCTTTCCAGTTAGATAAAGATTGGCTGGTGATTGATTGTCAGTAGAGATTGACTCAGAACACTAAGCATAATGAAAAAGTAGAAGGGATGAGGAGAATAAATGAGAGTTTATATCCTGAATAGTGAGACTTCTAGATTTCTACTACACTGATAGAATTGTGACAACTAGCTTACATACCCCAGACTGAAGGTTGGAGGTTTTGTTTCTAGAGAAAGTGACCCGTCCAAAAAACCCCCTCCAGATGATGATATTTGGGAATCTTCCCAAAGAATAGAATGGCCCTATCACTCAGAGGTGACAACTAAGCACCTTAGTACTTTACCCTTAATTGTGAGCCAGGCTTTTGGAGAAAGTGTCTTGAAAAAGATCAAAAGAAGCAAAAGGAACTCAACAGAAACAGAAAATTCAGCAATCAATAAATAAAATTATAATAAATATATATATATTTTAAGATTTTATTTATTTATTTGACAGAGATAGCGAGAGCAGGAACACAAGCAGGGGGAGTGGGGGAGAGAGAAGCAGGTGTGAGAAGTAGGCTTCCTGCTGAGCAGGGAAACCGACGTGGGGCTTGATCCCAGGACCCTGGGATCACGACCTGAACCGAAGGCAGACGCTTAACAACTGAGCCACCCAGGCGCCCCTATAATACATATTCTTGATGTGATGAGAGGAGATAGCTCATCTGTGGAACACTGGGCCATAAAAACGACTATTCAGCCAATGGGAAAGAACCCGTGAGTGTTGAAAAAATGTTAGCAGAAACAAAACATTCAGTAGAGGGTTAAAAGATTGAATTGAGGAAATCTAGAAAGTAGGATGAAAAGGTAAAACAAAGGTGAGAAAAGATAAAATTAGTGGGTCATTCTAGAAGGACCAAAATAGATTATAGATAAATAGAGCAGAGGAAGAATATCAAAGCAATAATTCGAATTTAACATGAGTGTTCAGATTGAAAAGACCTGCTGGCCTGCCCTCTTATTATGAATGTTAAAAGATCATGCAAAGGCATATCATCATGAAAGTTTAAATCAGTAAGGATAAAGAGAAGATCCTAAAAACTTCCAAAGTTGGGGAGTGGAGGGGAGACATGAGTTAAATACAAAGCATCAACAGAAATGGTATTGACTTCCTAGAAATAATACCGGACGTTAAAAGGTCTTGTAACATGCCTTCATAATTCTGAGAGAGCATGATTTCTGCCATTGAATTCTCTGTCTAATGAAACCATAAATCAAGTGTGCAGGTAATTCTTTCCAGACATACAGAGTTTCCAGAAGTATCTCTCTTGTAACTTTTCTCAGGAAGCTGCTGGAGGGTGTTCACCACCAAAATGAAAGAAAAAACTAAGAAGATACAGGGTTCAAAATATAGAGAGGATCTAACAACATGGAAGAGAGACAGAGGGAAGCCCTAGGACTCCATTTGCGAGGCAGGGCTGAGAGAGCATCTAAGACAGAGCGGGTGATAGAAAAGTGTCTCCTGGGGAAAAATGAAATTGACAGAATAATTGGCATTTGAATTGAGAAGAAATTTAAGTTCTTGGGAGAATGTGAAGTAGTGATAGTGAATGATACATGTATGAAACAGTTACTAACTAAAGGAAAAGGATAGTTGTATAGTAAGAAATGCAATTATAGTTTACTAAACACTCTGGTGTGCCTGAGTCACCTAGTCATAGTAATTTAAATACTGAATGTAGACTTAACTAAATATTGATAATGGTAGGATAGTGGAAGAGAAAGTATGAATGGAGGATACAGTTTTAAGATCCACATTCTCAGGGGCGCCTGGGTGGCTCAGTCGTTAAGCGTCTGCCTTCGGCTCAGGTCATGATCCCAGGGTCCTGGATCCAGCCCCGCATCGGGCTCCCTGCTCAGTGGGAAGCCTGCTTCTCCCTCTGCCACTCCCCCTGCTTGTGTTCCCTCTCTCGCTGTGTCTCTCTCTGTCAAATAAATAAATAAAATCTTTAAAAAAAAAAAAAAGATCCACATTCTCACTCACAGTAGTAGAGGGTATTAATTGCTTCTTTAGGTTTATAAAAATATAAAGTAATCAAGAAATGACCAAAAAGAATGCATGAAAAGTGTAACTATAGTGGAGAGACTGATGAACAGTATGTCAGCCAGGTGATCAAGGTTAACATCAGTGAAAAATCCTGTCTGTATAACATGCCCTTGACATGATGAGATGAGAATGGTACTTTAGTTTGGTGGTCTTCCTCTCCAAACTCCCCAAAATCCATAATACCAGTCTAACTGAGGGGCATGTTACAAAATACTTGATTAGTATTCCTCAAAACTGTGAAGATCATCAAAAAACAAGGAAACTGAGAAACTGTTAACAGTCTATAGGAAAAATGTAGTAGCCTAGAGGAGATTCTGGGACTGGAAAAGGACATTAGTTTAAAAACTAAGGACATCTGAATAAAGTATTCACTTTCAGTTAATAAAGTAGCAGTATTGGTTCATTAGTTGTGACAAATGTGTTGTGTAAGATGTAAATAGGGGGAACTGGGTGTGGGATACATAGGAAGTTTGTACCATCTTGCATTTTTTTCTGTAAATCTGAAACTAAAACTTTTTTTTGTTTGTTTCAAGTTTTTATCTAAATTCTAGTTAGTTAACATACAGTGTTGATAGTTTCAGGAGTAGAATTTAGTGATTCATCACTTACATATATAATACCTAGTGCTCATCACTAGTGTCCTTAATACCCACCTTCTCTCTAGCCCATCCCCCCCACCTCCCCTCCAGCAACCTTCTGAAACTAAAACAGTTTCTTTAAAAACAAGGTGAATGCTTGTAAAAATAGAGGCAAGTATGGGGAAAAACCGCTGAGAGTTGAAAGTTACAGCCAATGGAAATGGGGAAAGCAGGCCAGGGAACTTCTCTTTCTCATTGTAAACCTTGTAAAACCATGTTTGACCAATTAAAACTTATACAGTATAATTTTGATTAAAATAACAAGTTTAATATGCCACACAGATTTATAAAAATGAAAGTTTTTTCTATAATTTAGTTAGGTAGTCATTTAAAACTATTGTATGTATGGCATTGATGTAAGAAATTGGTCACCTTTGGTTTTTCATGTGTGGTCAGGGTATAACAACAGATTTGTTGGTCCTAGGTTGATGCTAGATTGCCATTTTGGGACTAATAGTTATGTCCTGGGCCAAGTGACAGATAATAATAGACAAGAAATTATAAAGAGGAAATCTGTATCTTACAAAAGAAGGATATTCATGGGTAGGTATATTTAGTTGTTTACTGACTGTATTATTTCTTTTTGATAGATACTGGGTCGTCAAGATGGAGTCCTGCAAGACTGGGTCATTGATGACTGCATTGGTAACTGGTGGAGACCAAATTTTGAACCTCCTCAGGTCAATGCTCATTTCTATTTGCTGGGCATTTGGGGAAGTAGAAAACTACTTTAATTCCAGCCTTTTGAAAAGAGTATAGCAGAATTTGACTTTCTCTCTCATTAGTTTAGATAAAAAATTTAAAAACCAAGCATTTTTTTCTTTTAAAGAAAAATTTCCAACATACAAAAGTAGGAATAAATGAAAGTACATGAATCCCATTACCTGTCTTCCACCTTCAACAGTTAGCAACTCATGGTCAGACTTCACCTGCCACGCCTTTTCCCCTGCCCTCACATTGGATTATTTTGGAACAAATCGTAGGCATCATGTCAGATGTAAATATTTCAGTACACGTCTCTAAAACATAAGAGTCTCTTTAAATAAAAACAACACAGTTCACATTCTCACACTAAGAGTAAGAAATTATTTCATAACAGCATTAAATATGTGTAACTGACTAGTTTCAAGTTTTTATTTTGTTCTCTAATTTGTTTGAATTAGGATAGTCTTTTAAGTCTCTTTTGACTGGTCAGTTTCCTAGTTCTCTTTTTTTCCTCATAATTTATTTGTTAATGAAAACAAGCTTTTTAAAATCCTTTGTGTTACCATTGCTGATTGCATCTGCCGGTTGTCATTGAACTTACAGTTCTTTCATTTCTGTCCTATAAACTGGTAGTTAGATCAAGAGACTGGATTTGGCTCGTGGGGGAGTATAAGGCTCACCATATGTGGTATATTAGTTATTGCTGCATAATAAATTACCCCCAAACTTAGCAGCTTAAGACAGCAGACATTTGTTATCTTAATTTCTCAGGGTCAGGCGTCTGGGAGCTGTCTAGCTAGGTGGTTCTGGCTCATGGTCTCTGATGAAGTTATGGTCAGGCTCTTGGCTGGGATTACATCACCTCAGGGCTGGACTGGGGTTGAAGGATCTGATCCCAGGTTCACACATGTGTTTGTTAGCAGGCCTCTCTTCCTGCACTGTTGGACTGGAGGCTTCAGTTCCTTGTTGGGTGTTGACCTGAGGCCTCTCTCTGTTACCATGAGAGCATCTCTATAGGGTAACTCCCAGTAAGGCAGCTGGCTTCCCCGAGAGCTTGAGATCCAAGGTGGAGACAGTGATAGAGAGCATGCCCATGTAGAAAGCTGTGGTCCGTGTAACCTAATCTTGGCAGTGACATACCGTGACTTCTGCTGTATGCTATCGGTCACACAAGTCAACATAGTACATTGTGGGAGGGGACTACACAAAGGTGTGGATACCAGGAGACAGGCACCATTGGGGGTCATCTTGGGGAATGGCCCTCACAGACAGTATCATGCGTTTCCATCAAAAGTTTTATAATGTCTGGTTGTCTCTTTTTGTAATGTTAGCAGCTCATAGATAATAGTTTCTTGGGTGTATTAATTCATTAGGGTTGTGAGCCTTTTATTAAGGGAAACTTCTCTCATCAACTGTTTAGTTACCCTGAGGTATAGTTTGTATAGGAAAGAATAGATGCGTCTTTTCAGAAGAATGAGCTAATTTATTAGTATCCTTCGAAGACTTTATTCAAAAGAAAGAATAAGACAAAGACTTGGGTACAGATAGTTTGGGAAGTGATCCCAGAAAGTAGTAGACTGGTAAGACTGATGGGATAGAGAGACCAGAAACAGCAGTAGGCAAAAAAAAGGGTACATAATTGATTTTATTACAACTGTGGGCAGCTGGGTTGATCCTGCTAAGGACTGTGAGGAACCATGTGGATTGGACCTTAAAATTGTTCCATTAGAAGGATGGAAGGCTGGAGACTCCTACTCCATTGGATAAGGGTTGTATTAACTCCCTTGCACTTTCACGTTGAGTCGGAGCACTGGTTGTGAGATTTTCTGGGGCTTTGGAAATGCTTTGAGGCTGAAAAGCAGAGAGTGAGACAGTGGCAGCAAGCTGGGAGCTTTCTGGCACTTTCCAACACAGCTGCCCTGAAATCTGAGGTGGGATGAGATCTGAGGTGGGTGGTGATGAGGGGCACAAAAAGCATCTGGTTCAGTGACTTTTTAAAGTGTCCTATGACCTCATGGATTTAAATACATTCATTGTGTTTTAATATATTGTAATGATTGATAATGGTACTGAGCTCAAATTTTCTTACCTTTGACTGATGGGAGCCTCTGATCCTGAATCCTGTTGACAAGGCTCTATGACTTAGATAGCTTCTTCACATGACAAGATGTTCCAGGTTAAGAATTCTACAAAATACCAGCCAAACAAAAGATGATTGTATCTGCCTCTTCCTTCTGACTCTGTAGTGTAGCGGAGGGATAGGAAGAGAAGGCACTGTGGAAGCTGGTGTTAGTACTCATGCCCTGAAAATTGTCTTGGCTTTAAGAAAGTATAATTTCATCTGGAAATAGTGAAGTTCCTGGTCCAAAGATACATAGAATGATAACTTAATGTTTTTTTGGTTTCTGAACATTCTTTTAATCAAACTGGAAGCTCAGTAATAACACAGAAGTTTTTCTTGGCTACTGAATACTCCCCTCATTCATCTCCCCTACGAAAGTCCTAGGACAGTTCCTTTCATTGACTGAACCCTAGGGTTGGCTCTGCTAGCATGAGATATAACGTAAGTGTTGTGTGTTTATTTAATACACTTGAGTATTGGTTAGGTGTCAGCGGGAAAAGAGCATGACACCATCTCCCTGTCTTTTTGTATAAAGTGCAGTTGGCTTAAAATAAACTCCCAAGATGAAGACTGGAGAAGAAAGTATTAAAAGAAAAGGAACAAATAGCCACGAGTAGAAGACAATTGGGGTAATGCCAGTCACTTTGGTTTGGTCATGGTTTAGGAGCTTTTGTTGTATGTGAACCACAGGTGTCCTGTAGCCTGTGCTGTTCAAACTGCTACTCACCGCTGTGTCTGTCATTGCCACTGTGCCTGGTTTTCATGATCGTGTAGGGCACCTCCACAGCCTGGGACAGTTGTCTTCATTCATCATACCTTAGGGATGGTTCTGGTGTATCATTTTTCTAACTTGAATACTGGGATATCCAGTGGGGTAGCATAGTGGGAAATAATAGGCTTTTACCATTAGATAAGGGTTGAATAGATGAGGTTGAATCCTGGTATCACTACTTAGTTGTGTAGTCTTGGGAAAGACATGTAGCTTCTCAGTGTAAGTTCTTACATAAAATGCGGGTGATGTTTCCTCCTTTTGGCCACCTCTGTTTTATCCTACTGTACCCTTATATCTATTTTCAGCATTTTCCAATTCCCCTGCTCTCAAATACAACTCCCAAAGCCAAAGTAGATTTTTTGAATGTATGTGGGGAGGTGCAGGTGAGTTCTCTATCTCTGACTTTTCAAATTCACTATGCCAGGGTTCTTTCTGAGCTAGCAACCACCTCTCTCTAATTCTCTTTAGAATCCCTTAAGTTCTTCAAAATATTTTCTCCATTTTCACAAGCAACTTGACTCTTTCTAGCTGACAGGACTCCACTGAGACTACTCATCTGGTACTCTGAAGCATGTATCTGGGGTGTGTGTGTGTGTGTGTATGTGTATGTGACATTGTTGGGGGAGGAGTGTCTTCTCAGATACCTCACAGGCCATATATAAACTTCTAATATAGTAAACTTCATTGGGTTATAAATTTCTCAAGCTGTAAATCCTTTGACTACTTATTTAATTGATTTGAATGGTTGAATGGTTTACTACTCATTATGTTGTATTTATTAAGCATTTATCTATTAGAACATCTGTTAGGTACCAGGTTCTGGTAAAGGGAAGACTAGAAGGAGTTCTGTTTCTCCCAGCAGTTTATGCTGTATTGGGAAAGAGGCATATGAAGAAATAAATGAAACCACAGGATACATGTTAAATTGTGTTGGGATTATGAGGAACATGGTCTCTGATAATGTCTGAAATGGGAGAAGTTGATAAATAAAGGCATGGAGGTATGAGGGATGTCTTGGCAAATGCAAATTATTCTCTTTTGTGATTTTAGTACCCATATATTCCTGCACATATTACAAAACCTAAGGAACATAAGAAGTTGTTTTTGGTTCAACTACAAGAGAAAGGTAAGTTTTTTGTTTTAGAGTGCAGCCATCTGAAAACTTGTAGAGTAATTTCAAGAATACTTAAATTTGTGTTTCCTCCAAGTTCCTTGAATTTTTGGATTTATTGTGAAAACAAAAACATATACTATGAGACGAACCATGAGAGACGATGGACTCTGAGAAACTGAGGGTTCTAGAGGGGAGGGGGGTGGGGGATGGGTTAGCCTGGCGATGGGTATTAAAGAGGGCACGTTCTGCGTGGAGCACTGGGTATTATGCACAAACAATGAATCATGGAACACTACATTAAAAACTAATGATGGACTGTATGGTGATTAACATAAAAAAACTTAAAGAAAAAAACATATACTATGTATATACCGAATTAACTACTGTTTTTTTTAAAAGATTTTATTTATTTATTTTTTAAAGATTTTATTTATTTATTTGGGAGAGTGTGAGGGTGAGCATAAGCAGGGGGAGGGCAGAGGGAGAGAGGGAATCTCAGGTGGACTCCACACTGAGCGCAGGGGCCTGAGCCAAAATCAAGAGTTAGATGCTTAACCGACTGAGCCACCCAGGCGCCCCAGAATTAACTAGTTCTTCTCAGAGGTGTGCCAGTCATGCTATAGGGGGAAGGTTAACTAGAGCCTTAAAATAACAGATTGTAGTATTTTAAAATAGCTGTTTAGCTTCTGGTACTGATATTCACATTATGATAAACTAAAACTTTTAGGGGACAGAGGAATTAATTTTTTAAATACCACCTTTAGGTCTTTTGTACATTTTAACAAATAATTGTTTCTTGTCACAGTCTTAAAATGGAATTCAAAATAAATTATAAACCCGAAGGCTCTTCTCTTCTCCCCTTGTTCCCAGGGCCAGCACTTATAAGGTGCTCTTGGTTGTTATCGCTATGAACTTTGCTTGAAAGATACAACCAAAGTGTATTAAAGAGGATTATCTTTTTCCGCAAAACTTTCTCAAATGTAAAACTGGTGATTACTTTATAAATGAATTTTAAGCAGTGATTATGTAAGAATTTACAGGAAATGAATACTGTTTTGTTTTATTTTAGCCTTGTTTGCAGTCCCTAAAAATTACAAGCTTGTAGCTGCACCGTTGTTTGAATTATATGATAATGCACCAGGATATGGACCCATCATTTCTAGTCTCCCTCAGCTTCTGAGCAGGTATGGGAAGTTGAACATTTTGTGGCTGATTCATCTAAATTGCCAAATTTAAAATATTCTGAACTGCTTGAGAAGGAATAGTTATGAATTTTGGTCTTCAAGGAAACTAAGACTGTAGATGGATTTTTAGTGTATGTACAAGCCATAGGTTAAATATGACTGACTAAAAGTATCCCCAGACTTTCAAGTTGCAGCATGACATTCTGATATTTGGGTGAGTGCTCTGCCCCACATCTGATATTTTTGTTACTGTTAAGTTTGAGGTCTGCATTCAGAGAAGAGATGGTAAAATGGCAGTCAGCACTATATAATAAAATTGAGGGGAAGTACCTATATGAAAATGTGGAGAATTGAATCTCTTGGTGTAATATGTTCTCTTTCCTCTTAGAAATATGCTGTATTTAGGTCTACTGGGATATGTGGGATTAAGTCCTGAATTTTTACATACATGGAGTTTGGTTTTTTGTTCTTGTTTTTTTGTTGTTGTTGTTGGCTGATAGAGGTATAAGAAATGCATTTAAAAAAAAAGTTGACTTGTACTGGTTGAGGTCCTTAGAGTCTTCTATAGATAGGAGTCACAGAACAATGTGGTGGCTAAGAATATAGATGCTGTGGGCAGTGTTTGGATTTGAATTCCACCTTTTTTTTTTTTTTTTTTTAAATTCCACCTTTAATAACTTCTGGCAGTGTGACCTTGGACAAACGATTATGCCTATTTGCTTATTTAACCTTCACCTGTAAATCAGGGTGGTAGTCCCCACTTCATAGAATTGTGAAGAGCAAGTGAAAAAATGCATATAAAGTGCTTAGAACAGTGCCAGGCACCTGGTAAATGCCTAATAAATGTTAGTTCAAAAACAGTTCCAGTAGTGATTTTGGCCTTCTGTGAAAGCTTGTTGAGTATGAAATTGGTTCTTTCCATTTTGTTACACTTACCAAACTTTATCTTTTGCTCCTCTTCTGGTCTGCTGCTGGGTTAAAAGTTGAGGTATGAGATATGAAAAAGAGTCATATAATTCATTTATTTGAACACCGTTTATCAGGTATCGGGAACTGTGCTGAGTGGCATAATACAATGAGGTATAAAAATTTTCCTTCTCTCAAGGAACTTTTTAGTGGATAATTAATCAAATGCGTACTCTTAAATTTTTTTTTAATTGTAAGTATTCAACAACACTGTTACTTAATGTGTAAGACGAGCCAGGTGAGAGAAAAGCATGTTTTGGTGTGAGAAAATGCCAAAAATGTCAAGGGAGTGTAGAAATGTCCAAATTTCTTTATCATCTAAGATAAAAAATACTTTGTAAATAATGCTGTTTTTAATAAAGATATTGTTCTTTCTAAAATTCAGGTTCAATTTTATATACAACTGAATTCCTGCCCAGTGGAGAAGTAAAAGAAGCCGTCTCTGTGAGCACAGCTATGCACAGTGTAGAATAAACATGGTAGAAAAGTTTGTTTTGGTTTTTATCTCTTTCCCAGTCCCTAAATTGCTCCCTACTTTCTGTTGTTTGAATAGTAAAGTTAATATGAAGAACTCGATAGTGGTGTAAACAAATGTGATAATGTTTAACTTACTTTTGGTTCTACTCATACTTTTTTGTACAACATTAAAGAATATGAACTTCTTTCTATTTGTATTTTTTTTTTTTTTTTATTTTTCACATTAAACTTGTAAAATTCTTACAGGTGAGGACTGTTTTTTTCCCCCTGCTCCTAGGCTGGTGATGTTAAGAGACAATGGCAGGTTTAGGTCAGTTGAGTATATGGGACCCTTGTTTGGATGCCATTTTGGGGATATACTCCAAGACTGTGTTCTAGATTTTTGTGATGAGGAACTTCTGTTACTTTTGGGAACGAGATTTGCTTGATGGAGTCCCAAGGTGCAACTCCTGAACCAAATAGTACACTTTGAGTTGTACTACAGCAGAGCTCCCAGTATATTACTAACTGGTACATTTCATACTGATATATTCAGACCTTTGTTCACAAGCAACAGACCTTAAACATATGGGAAGCCATTAAAATTGGCTAGATTAGGGAAACTCATGGGAATTGGTATAAAAAGAGGCCTTTTTGAGAGCTGAGACTTTTTTCCTTCATATAATGGGGGTGTTAATTATTTGTGTTGCTGTGAAATTATGTGGTTTTGTTATTCTGAGGGCCATGGTAAAATGGTGATCTGTGAAGGAAGTTTTTAAAAGTGGGTCTGTTAAGTTTTGAACTCTTGGATTACCAAGTTAGTTATTTCAGTTTATATCCATAGAAATGAAAATTTGGTTTTAGCAAGTGACAAGCCTTTTCAAAAATATTTTGGGATAATTTGAATCAACAAATCTAAAGACAGGTTAGGGGATAGATTTTGTCAGCCTGCGGGAAAAATGCCAAATTTTAAAGTTTTTTAAAATAACACTGCTAAATTAGGGTCAGGTTTTGGGGAATAAAAAATTATTCTTAGGGCAAAGGAGTGTGCTGGCTGTGTCATTGCATAATGGTCCGAGTATGTTGTGCATGCCTTATAACAAACGTGTTGACTATAGGCTTAATGAAAAGGAGGTCTTGTAAGATGCAGCTACTTAAAGAAGAGAGGTAGCTGTTTTAAGAGATAGACAGAAGTGAACTGCTGATTAGTTCTTACATCTTTATGATAGGATCACAGGCCTTGTCTCTTAAATATTTGGTGAGTTGAAAGGTATATTGTAAATTCTTCCCTATTTAGACGAGAAAATCAGACCAAGAACATCTCTGTCAATAAAGGTTCAAGTTTATTTAGCTGAGGTCCCCTCAAGCCTTCACAAGGTTGTGTCAAGTTGTGATTGTGATCATGCTCATGCTTAGTAGGTTAGCAACAGGCTCTAGGACCAAAAATAATTCGTGATTTCCTTAAAAGCCCCTAATTCTGTAGATAGTCCTCTTCCCTCAAGGGCTAGTCTCCCCCCTCCCCCTGTGATTTACATTAGCATATTTATAATTTACTATAATTTTACTGGTGAGTTCACTGGTTAGCTGAGCCTTATCAAGATTGGGGAAGGCAGAGATGGAAACAGCTTGATCCAGCCCACTTTCTATGGTTGCTTCTGGCATCCAAGTGAAAAGCTATAGTAACCACATTTCAGATGTGCTAGCGCTTGCCACTTGGGGAGGGTGGAAAGAAGTGGACTTTTTCTTGGTGTTATTATAAAATGCTGTATAAGTTGAGATCTGATTTGAAGCTACTCATGTCCTTTGCAACATAAGCTTTGACCTAGAAAGTCTTTCTGGATCATTACTTCGCAGTATAAGTGCTTGAGTCAGTCATCTATATGTTGGGGGATAACACTAAAAGTTTTAATCAAATGTTTTCAGTCATAATTAGAATTGACATCCCTTTGAAGAAAAGTGAAATTTATTTTTTTTTCCTAAGTGATGACGACTATTGTGATTTTTTAGTAAGTAGATAATGCTTAAAATGGCATTGTGATAATTCTGTTTATGAATTTGTACTTTTAACAGCAGATCAGGGAGAGTTCTTATTTTTTATCATTGTCTTAGCTTATTGTGGTTCAGTTATTTTATTTACAGGTTCCATTAAATTAGCATTTATTGGCATATGAAATATAGCCAAATTAGCCAGTTTGTTTTCTTCCATGCTTAATTAAAGTGAGAGGTAGAGGTCCTCTAAATTCAACAGGCCAGCAAGCAAGCAACTTAAAATTTCCTTTCTTAAATGATGTGACTCTTAAGCTCTCAGGTTTTTAATGACTATATTTTTTAAGTACTTGCTCAGTCACTTGAGATGAAATGCTTGGAGTAGCTTTTCCACGTCAGAATTTCTCAGACTTAAATGTTTTTACTGTTTCATAGTGTTCGGGACAGTACGTGCCGTTCACTAAGACTGCTTCAGAGGGTGTGCGGTTTTTTATGTTGCTTCGCCAGAGAAGCCTTAGTGGTTTTTGACTGTATAACAAGTCCGCTTCCGTAGCAAAGGTTTGATTTCCTATAATTATTCCACTTGTTTTGCATCATTTATTATTTGGGTTAAACTGGACTCATTTCAAGTAGTTTTCCTTTGTTGTTCAGATGTGATGAGAAACATAATAATTAGAATTTGACTTGAGCCATAAAACACATTTTAATATTAGCTCGTATTTATCAAGCTTGTTTTTGTGAAAAAACAAACAAAAAACAAAAACAAAAAACTGACTAAAACCTAAGTGAGTCTTAATGAAGCCAGTTTAGGTGTAATTTGTATCTTAGTGATGAATTGTACCATAGGACTAGAGAAGAATTGGGAAAATGTATTATGTTATCTGTTGAGGGAAAGATCAGTGCATTTACAAACTTAAAACTTGGTTACTGTGTTTACATCATAGTGTACTAGCATCATTTATGGTTTGGCTTTGAGAATTTTTATGGCATTACACTTAAAATGTATAAAAGAAACTGAAGTTTTGGTTATATTTTTATATTTGTAAAGTAAAAGTTTGATTACAATGGTCACTGTTCTTTTTAAATTTTATTTTATTGTTCATTTCAATTAAAAAAATAAAACAGAATGACTCTGATTGTGTGTGGCTTCTAACCTTAGTGTGCCATTAGAAAACGGTTCTTTTTCATTGTTGTTGGCCAAGGGCCATTAGGTAAGAGACACTTGACAGAATAGCAAGGGTCTGAAGAACTGGGACATTGATGTTGCCCTCTCTGGCGCTCCCCCATTGTGTGTTAGCTGTGATCTTAGGCAGATCTAGTTTCCTGCATTGTGAAGTTCCAAATCCCTGGATTTGGAACCTGAAGACTGGGATTTAGAAGTTGGCACACGATTTTGCTGTATTGTATCATTGGGGGACTCGGTTTCCTCATCTATAAATCTCTGTGTTGGTTCCTTTAGGCTTTTTTTCCCTCAGACTTGCCTGGAAGTCATGTTCTGTGACACTGTGCTTGCTGCTTATGTAATACTGTGTAATGTAATTTCAGCATCTTAAATAGAAACCGTGTACCCAAAAGATGAGAACACCTGTGTCATAAGATCACAGCCTCAAGGTTTTGTATCTGAACAAAAGTTGAACAAAACCTGATAAAGTTATTAGAAAGTTTCTATGGAAGTTTTACTGCTTGTATATTGCAGGTACCAAAAAGCTATGAAAAGTTATGAAAGAAAGGCTAAAAATTGAAATATACCCATTAACTTACTTTTTCTCCTGCAACTTGAGTTGGTTATCGTTTCCCCCTCTGCTAGATTTAGTAGTGGAACACACTGGTCCGGCTAATGAAACACCCAGAGTTCTGTGGGAGTACACTTAAGGTTATTGTTTAGATAAGGTAGTTCAGTTTCTAGGATGTTGAGAATCTTCTAACAACAACAAAACTACTCAGCCTTAAAAAAAAACAAAACTACTCAGCCTTTCTCAAAGAATGGTGAAAATCAAATGAAGTCATAAATATGAAAGGATTTCAGATATTTAAAAGTAAATAACAGTAAAGTATCTAGGTGTGATTCTTAATCTACATAAGCTGGTTTGTCTGAATTGATACTTTTTAAAAATTTCCTTTAAATCAAGCCAAGTCAGAGCCACCATCCTATAAAGACGACAGAAAATTCAGTCTCTTAGTCATTATTGGGAGACTGGGGGGGCCAACTCAAAGTCTCCAAGGAATCCAGAAAGCATAAGTGGTATTCTGAAATGAGGGTGGGAGTGCAGAGAGCTCTAGCTTCAAGATACTCTTCTTGTCTAAGCTGGACGGGCCCCTTAAGGTTTGGTGTGGTTGCCTTCCTGCCACACTGGGCTTTAGGACTCAACTGAGAAAGGTCGTCCCTGTACCTATGTCCAGCCTTCCTGGGCGCACTAAGTGTTCATTCCTCTGTGTCTTGCCTCCTCCCCAGGTCCTCTCATGGAGTAGGATACAGTGCAAAGAACCAGAAACACGAATTGATTTTAGAAGGCGGGTTTTGACCATGCTTAAAAAAAAAAAAAAAAAAAAAAAAATCCTTCAGAGGGGTGCCTGGGTGGCTCAGTGGGTTAAGCATCCAACTCTTGATCTCAGCTCAGGCCTCAAGCTCAGGGTTGTGAGTTCAAGCCCCTTGTTGGGCTCCATGCTGGGTGTAAAGCCTACTTTAAAATGTGTGTGTGTGAGTAACCCATGCCCCCCCCGCCCTCCAGCCAAATTGTTTTGTTCCATCACAGGCTTTTGAATAGGATGTTTCTAAAAATTCCAGAGTGGATGGTAATAACTTTGAGAGGTCTTTGTTTTCTAATTAGTAGAGTTTTAGAATATTAGGCATTAAAGAGACTCAAAAATGGTTTAGTCCTTTTCTTTTGAAAATTTGTAAGATTCAACAAATAGTGAGCACCCACTCTGGAGCAGGCACAATTCTAGGCCTTGGAAATACAATGAGGAATAAGACCCCCAAGCTTTTTTTTTTTTTTTGGTCACAGCTTTATGAAAGTGTACAACGAAAGGACTTTTAGTATATTCAGAGTTGTGGAGCTGACAGCACAATTAAAAAAAAAAGAAATCCATATTTTGCTTTTATCCCCCAGTTCCCTCATCCCTGTTCCCCCCCCCCCCCAGCAACCATTATTTTGCCTTCTGGGTCTGTATATGTATTTGCCCATTCTGGATATTTCATATAAATGGAACCGCAACGTGTAGCCTTTTGTGTCTGGCTGCTTTCACCTAACAAGTTCTGGATTCCTCCACGTTGTAGCAT